TTTATATACCAATTTGTCATTTATAGTACATTTATACTAAACCATGAATAACAATACCTCAATATAAATTAAAGACTGCCACTCAATATATTTATATATATGAAAAAATAAAAAAAAAATCAAAAAAATCGAAAAAATCAAAAAAATCATGATTTTTTTATAAAAAAATCAAGTGATTTAATCACATGATTTAATCATTTTGATTTAATCATTGCCAACCCTGGCTGTTGATGAGTAAGGGTAGAAAATACCTGGTCCTAGAGCCATTATATATACGACCCGAACGCTGACTTGTGTGGGTAAAAATATTTGCGCTACGGGAGAAAAGATACGAGTATATATGGCCCCTGAGTAGGATATATGGTCGAGTTGTGGACGATGTGATACGAGAGTAGTTACATGTGGTCTCGGATTATGTGGACCTTGTCCCAGAGTAGAAGGTTACGGCATCGTCCAGTAGTAGTTGTCCATGTCCGAAAGTAGCCATATATGGTCGTTTACTTGGAGTTTTTCTTTCGGCAGCTGTTAAAGATGGACCATTAGTTAACTTCTTCGGCCAGGCATTAGTTATTCGGTATCAGTTCATTGACATGAACCATCAGTACATAAAAATATTCATTTCCGTGGTTTTCGAATACAGAAATATTTATTCGAAGTACAAATAATATTCCTTTTCATGCTAACGACTTTCTTCAAAAAACGCAGCAATAATTAAAAAATGAGCGTCATATGTATGTTTGAAAGTGATGGTGAATTTTGAATTGCTCGACTTATGAAAATTTTTCAGGTATGCGAGTTGACATCGGCTCATAAATCTCGGGAAAAAGATCTTCAGGCACAAATTTTGTGCGCGGAGATGGAGAGCGAGAAGCTGAGGGAACGCAACTCCAAGTTACAAGAGTCCCTCCTGAGTGACTCCGACCATCGCCTTGTGGGCATCCGCCAGCACTGCTCCGACCTGCAGAAAGAGGTGAGCCGCCTTCATTAGTCCCTCACTTGCTTGCAAGATCTTGAATAATAAATGAATAATAAGATCTTAAATTATAGCCCATAAATGATAACTCGGTAGGTATTGGTTGCTTGCAATCGCTCAAGTTAACTCGCAAATTATGGCTTTTCAATGACTGTGATAGCTCATTTAACCCGTCAGTCAGCAAATGAAACTGTGTAGTTTTTAAGGAAAATGAACAAAGTAAGGATTTAACAGATATTATTATCGTGTTTCATATCGTACCTACAAGATTGAAGAAGTTACAGAGGCAAATAATGATAGCTCATTAGAAAGTCGCTGCCAGAGGTTGGTTGTAGAAGTCTCGATGATCTGTTCAATTAGGCTCTAAAATAAGAGCATGAGAAACGTTCTCAAATAATTGCGTTTCTAATAATCGTAGCAATTCTTCATAATCACGCGAAAAATGTTTGCTTGATGCGTATTATGTCCTGCAGTTACTTTGAATTGCATTCTTGCTCTCTCTAGAAAATTGCAGAGCTTATGGGCGCCTCATACACATTATTCCGAAGAAAATTTGTTGAATTCACTTCATCCTCTATGAAAACGTTTCTTAATTTTCGAGAATAGAGAGAACTGGGCTGCCCCACTAACTCGTTTACTTGTTTTCAGATTCTTAGTTTGTGCGAATATTAAAAAAAAGGTACGTGTTACACGGCTTCATAAATTGCCACTGACTGGCTAGTGCACAATTGTTGGCTCAGTCGTTCGCTTGAACGGCACCAACGCGTGCCATGCCGCTGGTGCGGCACTCACGAACTGCATTTTTGCAGCAACTAATTTCCATATTTTGATAGAAACGGAATCGCCTGCATTGTGGTCCGACCATACTTTGCAAAGCATGTTTTTTGCAAGATGAAATTCGTACTTGTGAATATGAAAACCTGGAAGTTATTCCGATCAATATCATTAAAATTAAATTTTTAGCAAATTGATGTAGTAGTATTCGCGCTTGTTAGTAATTCTTGTTTGGAAAGTAGTAAAAGCAACCATCTGCTTATAAATGTGGCCTCTTTTATGTTGTCTTACCAACTAAAGATATTAATTTTCTGACGAATCATAAGGATAATTATTTTTAAATAAAATATTGCAGTGAACATACTAGTTAAAGCTGCAAATGAATCGAATAAACGCCTTCTCTGATTCATTGCTTTGTAGAACTTTGTGAACTAACAAGTTTAACGTCATTCTCCGTTAAAGAAGGCTATGCTGCGTATCGTTGTCTAATAATTCTGTGAGTGTTGATGGAGTGGCGTGCGTGCAGGTGGAGTCACTGAAGTCGGTGGTGGAGATGCGCAACAGCGACCTGCACAAGCTGAGGGCGCAGGTGGCGGGCATGGAGCAGCTGGAGCGCGAGCTGGAGGCCGCCCGCCACCACGCCAACACCCTGAACGCCAAGACCGAGGACCTCAACGCGCAGATCAACACTAAATCCCAGACTGAGAGGTGAGCCATCAACTGTATTTTCTCTTCTCCTGCTGGACATTTTTCTTCTTGCTATTCGCATTGTTCACTGGTTGCTCAGGATGCTCAGGCTAGTTATTGTTCCAGTGCTACTCATCTCTCTCCTTTCTACTCATCCCTTCTTAGTATTCTTAGTATATGTTTTGAACGTAGCAGTTCCAGGCCACGCCTCTGACTATTGCGCATCCGCCCTCATTTGGGGCTGCTGATGCACGATGCTGTTACTTGCTTCTCGCCGCTGGTAGTGGTTAATGCAAGAGGCGGACGATCAGAGATTGTGCTCCGGAGCACGTCCAGTCGCCTCTTAAAGGTCTCCAGGTTAAACTCCCCCTCTCTTAGATCCTTTGGTAGGACGTTGAACAGCCTCGGCCCTGCCACGGAAAAAGATCCTTCCTGCAGGGATTGAAATCGCAGTGGGGCAATCTTCCCCTTTCTCGTTATGGTATGTTTTATTCCTGAAGGTTTCGCTTTTAAAATTTAGTTTCATTCCGATTGTTATTTTTCATGTGTCTCCCGTGTCCTCGGCATTGAGTACAGACCCAGGCTCTCCAACCTCCTCCAGTAGTTCAACTCCTCCATTCCGCTGATCCAGGAAGTGAAGGTTTGCTGGACCCCTTCCAGTTCCCGTACTGCGCCGAGTGGGAACGGTGTCCAGAGCTGGCAGCAGGATTCAAGAATTGGTATTACACGGGCTCTGAAGAGTGTGATCATCGGTTCCGCTTCTCTTGTTATGTGACCAAACTTGACCGAGTATTCATCAACACTCCTAGATCGTGAACGAGTCGCTTTTCTACGATTTCCAAGCCGTCAGGTGCTAGGTAGCGGTGCTCCATGCCAGCTCTTCTGCTACCTCTGTGTCTCAGAACCTGAAACTTATTTCCGTTCAACTGCATGCTGTTCATTTGGGCCCAGTCATATATTGCAGAGAGGTTTTCCCGAATGGCAGCAACCGCACGCGCCTCCACTATTTGTTGCTCTTCTGCTACCTCTGTGTCTCAGAACCTGAAACTTATTTCCGTTCAACTGCATGCTGTTCACTTCGGCCCAGTCATATATTGCAGAGAGGTTCTCCCGAATGGCCGCTCGCGCCTCTCGCTATTTGTTGCTATGTCTCTTGTAAGTCTCGCAGCTGTCGTTCAGTATTCTCAGTTTTTTCCGTAGATGCACCAGCCTCCACCTCCAAATTCCTGCAGACTGCCGCTATCTGGTTGTTCAAACTCACTCGTTTCCCATGAGGATCCGTCTGTCCCCTTGAATTATGTGTCGTTTGGGGGTCGTTTTTCCCGGCGTGTGACGCACGCATACCTGCAGTAATACTCCGTACAGCTTGTTGCACATTGCTTAGGCTTTTAACTTTACGAACTCAGATCTCCAGTCGACTTCGAGGAGTTCGTTCCCAAAGGTCTCTTATCTGTTCTCTGATGATGAAAATTTTGCCAACCTGTCCCTGTCGAGATGTAGGTCTGGGCTGGTTCCAAATCCCAATTGTCTCCACCAACACTAGTCGATGGTCTGACAGTGAGTTCTCCTCAACCCAAAGCAACCAGTTCTACATTGCTGATGAAGAATAGGTCCAGGATATTGTGTTCTTTTGTTGTCAACCGCACCTGTTGACATAGCAAGTGCTCCCTAGCGAATCGAAGTAGTTGCGTTGCCTGGGTTTCTGTCCTGCTCTCTGCGCCGTCCTAAATAGTCCAAGTGTGAGTATCGTATGCGCGGTTGATTAAAATCTCCCGCGTACCACAGTATCTGGGGATGGTTCACCCAAGTTGGATGCCTCTGTTCCTATTCTCTGAAGAGTTTTATTGAATTTAATAGTTTTATTGAAGTAAAGCGGTCGGTATACGATAGCTAAACACAGTTGGAGATGAAATGTGAAGTATAACATGTTCCACATATCCATTGAAGCCGAAATGCAGAGGAACTGTTTTTACCGCGAGGGAGTTTCTGAGGTAGACCACAACACCTCCCTTTGCCCCCTTCTTTTCGGTCTGCTCGGTAATGTTGACAGCCTTTCATTTCAATTTCTTCATCTTGGATATCCTCTCTTAGATGTTACTCTATTGAAGCAGCATGATTATTCCTTCTGTCTCTGCAATTTCTCTAAGTAGGCCGATCTTGTGGCGTTTGTTCATGGTGCCAATTGTCAAAAATTTAGTTTGTTGCATTCAAGACATTCTCTTCTAGGTTTGCTAACACAAGCTTTTGCCGTCATGTTTACTGACTCAATGCATTTTTCTTCGGTATCTTTTTGTTCTCTCTCACTTACTGACTTCACTGGACAAATTTACTGCCTGAAATTCAGGCTTAATTTACTGCAAATTTAATAGATTGGGTGAAATTTATATACTTGAAAAAGTTTAGTAGGAAAGTACCTTTATTATCCGTTTGCACTCTCTGATAGCAATCGTTTTTTTACTGACTTATTCTCCTACTCGTCTCTTCTTCTGATAATCATTTCTCTATTGCTACTAATTTTTCTCCTACTAAATATTCCTTTACTGCTTCCCATTGTTTTCATGTTTCTTATTTCTCCCGGAACTCATCCTTATTCTGGTATATATTTTTCATCTGTTACTCATCTCTTCTACTGCTAATCCTCCTGCTACTAATTTTTTTCCCCTCCTTCTCTTTCTTCTTCTGCCAATCATTTCACCTCCTACTTCTCACTCTTCTGTCACATATTCTTCCTGTGCTACTCTGGAATTAAATTAAATTTCGAACGAAAAATATCCTGCTTAAAGTATATCCTGCTATATATATCCTGCTTAAATATCCTCGTTCACCTACAATTTATTTCCTTCGCTACTCCTCATCTCATCTGCAGCCTCTCATTTCTTCTCATCTTACTCACTTTTCCTCTGATGCTCATCTTTTTTCGTGCTGCTTATTTTTCTCCTGCTATTCATCTATTCTCCGGCTACTCATTTCCCTCCGCTACTCATTATACCCATTGATTCTACTGTCACGAAAGCCATGTCAGTCATACCACTTTCATCGCCGTGTAATTTTGATTTGTTATTCGTAAAATTGCAGTACAACATGAGTGGCAAAAATTGAATTGTATTTCCTGAAAGTGTCAAGTCATATCATTTATATTCTCCCCTTTGCGCAGGCAACTGATGCAGTCAAATCAGCAACTGAAAGAGGCAATAGACAGAGAGAGCAGCGCCAACAAACAACTGCGCCTGGAGAATGAACAACTGCAGTGGAAGCTGCGGCAGCGCGAGCAGCTGTCGCAGTCACTGCCTGCCTCAACCATCGGTGAGATTGACTAGTAAAATAACATGGCTCTTAGTTAGATCGCCATGCTCGTATAGGGCATACCGCTAACAAACTAAAAAATTTTTTCCTGTTTTGATATCTCTTCTATCAATAAACGAATATGACCATTTTCAGATCTTCGCATTTTGTCTACAAAGGCTCAAAGTGGATTAAATTGATTATAATGGTCTTCGTTTCTAAAACGATAGAACATACTTCGCTCCTTGTTCAGCACGCGTGCAACGGTGCAATTCACCATAGTCTCATGCTCATTGCCTTTTTAAATTATACTTTGCAATTCTTGAATAACTGTATTTTCCTATAATTGTATAGGGTAGCTCATGAAATTTCGGGGATGATTTGCGGAGAATGGAAGAAAATTTCGACGAATGTTATTATTCTTGCTTTTCGGCACATTTTACCAAGCCAGAATGAGAATTAAATCCTATCTTGTCATTTATCTCTTTTTTACGTTTTTTCGTGACCATTACTGCCAAATATGGTAGTGGGGGATTACTACTACATCGTATTACTCCAGTTTTTTCTCCAGGTCTTATACGTATTGCTCTCTTTTAATTCCACACTTATCATCGTATAATTTTTTTTTGGCGTCTAACATGTATTACCTACAAACATATTATCATATTGTCTACTAAACATACAACATATTACGTATTATAGGCGTAATATATTATCTACAAAACATTAAACATATTACGGATTATAGACCCAACATATATATTAATAAAAAGTCTCTCTCTGACTTTCCATTTTGCAGCTTCGTTCTTAGCTCCGTTCAAAACAGTACCCGCACTTGTCCTTCTGTGTCTTTTGGAAGTCGACAAAGTAAATCGAACACAAGGGAAATTACTTGTATTGCAATTGGTGCTGTTTTTACGATTGATTTAAGTAAGTACAAGCTCACAAGACGCGCATTTTATTTCATTATTATTTTTTTTGCCTGAAATCTTTGATTTCTTTCATATACCTCAGAGTGCGCTAAGAGTTACGATTTAATTCAGTCTTTTAAGGAGCCGGATGGAAGTCAATTATTTCAGCTAAACTTATGAAGCATCTGTTACATGCTTCTAATCAGCTGTTACATTAGCAACCTTATGAGCTGTTGGAATGAGTGCGTAGATCTTTAGAGGTTCTTACATATTCTGTATTCATTCTAAGCTTGACGACACTTAGTGGTGGCTGTTTGGCTCGGTAAGGTAGTGTTGGAGTAAATTTATTTAACTCTGTTAAATAAATTATATAGCTTTGTAATGCTAGTAATGCCGTTAAAATGTGATCTACTTGAAGCTAATAGAACGTTGAAAGTTAATTTTTTATGAATATTCCGAAAATTAAGATGAAATTATTGCGTTCAAATAGGCCCAAGATTATCTGTCTTTCTTAGCCTGAAGGAAAAGTATCGCGGGGCTCTATCTTGTAAGCCGAGGATTATCATGCAGGTTTCCGACGCATTCTTTATTTATTTGGATCACGATTTGTGATCTTACAAACAGAAGATCGATAGATCACCCATTCGTTTTGGCATATTGAAAACTAATGGATGTCCTGGAAATAAACATGACACGACACTACTAAAACACTCCGAAAACAGCCATGAACAATCGTTTATTAGAGTATGAAAGAGTAATTTGATTTCATTCGATTAAATTGAATAAATTCCAGAATTATTCTCGATCTCATGGATTCATATCACATGATTGATAAAATCGCGAATTAAGCAATAACTGGAAAAAGAAGAAATACCAAATAAATTCAGTATATTTTAATGGTAAATTTTCTGCGACGAGCTCCATAAAGCAAACAATGGCCTAAATAACTCGTGTAGTTCGTGAAATTGTTTACGAAAGTTTTTCACGTTACTAGGTAGTGATCGATGAGTAAGATTTTGGTATCTGCAGTGTGTCATCAATTTGATTATTTTCTTATTATTGAATTTTCATCAAATGATGGAACTCGTCTCCGTAACTTTATTTATGAAAGTATGTGGAATTTACATTTTATTTTCTGAGAAACGATGTCGTGACTGCGCCTGGTTAAGACAACAGTTCTAAGTATGCATTGACTCACCAACACAATCTAAATCATGTTCATAAGACGCTGCATTTGTCTGATTTACACTCGTGAATGATAGATAACTACCTAAGCTAAAAGTTCAGAAAAATGTGCTCTGACTTCAATTGGTGCGTCTTTCGCTTCCTGCTCGATAGGATTTGAGGTGAAAAAATAACTGCAGCGGCAGCGATACCAGCTTGTTTTGAAGACTCATGTTATGACGGCTCATGTTATGACGGCTCATGTTATGACGGCTCATGTTATGACGGCTCATGTTATGACGGCTCATGTTTAGACGGCTCATGTT